TTTTTAAAGTGTACGTCAGACACTTCAGCAGAATTGCTCATGTAGATTCTATTCTTTAATTATTCTGAGGCTTTAGCAGAATAACAACAGGCTTTTTTTTTCTGATATTAAGCGCATGTTTACTTTCAGATCCTACTTTCCTCAAGGCATAGTCATTGTTTGCATAATCTCGTCATTAATGTTTTAGCCTTCGGTGATAGGGTGATATCTTTTTTTTTTTTTTTAAGTCCCTGATTAACCTGTGAGGGTACTGTCCATTAATCACGGCTATATTGCTGATTACGTATGGCAGCGCAGATCAGCATCCTTACTGCATTTTCCTATCTTTTAAAACTTTACTTCGTGTATGAAATATATCTTTCTTTTTTTTATTCCTATTTATATTAGATTTTCTGTCACATTTCTGTCGCCTCTTACTACACTATCCAGATAGGTAAATATTTTGCTGTCTACAATACTGTTGCGGCTTTGTTGGGGCCAGAAATAAAGACGCAAGAGAGGAATTGAGTTAAACAAATATATTAACAGAAAACGGCAATACAAACATATACAAACGAGAGTTTTACAGCAAGAATAGTCCGTCCAACTATCAGAGCTGACTACTGGACACTGCTATATTTAACAGCCCCCCCCATCAGGGATGTATGTAGCACAAAGCCGAGTTAATGGTAGGTTCTCTGAGTCCGTAGGATCGGCAAAATTATTCCCTTAAAACGGATTCAGGGTCTGTCTACCTGTTAGGACCAAACTCGTCCGGGTTCCTCTCTGTCAAATCAGAGAGTTCAACAGAAGTCGCATATAGTCAGAGACTGTAGGTCCACTGCCAATATTTAACAATCCCCCCCCCCACGAGGAATATATGTGGCACAAGGCCGAGTTTAACGTGGGTTTCTCCGAGCCCGTAGGCACAGCCAAAAATATTCCCTTAGAATCTGCAGAGCGGGTTCTGGATCTGTCTACCTCTCCGGACGTAGCTTTGCCCTTCGGCAAAGGTTCGTCCGGGTTCTTCTCTACCAAAGCAGAGAGTTCGACAGAAGTCGCACACAGTCAGAAACTGCGAGTCGACTGCCTCGACTGCTGGACACTGCACTTCCCAAAAGGCACTACCTGTTCTTATTTACAGCGTGCGTGGGTAGATTATTATAACAAATACGTACTTTACACCTTGGGCTGACAACCATATATTCTCTTGCTTACATTTACTTATTAGTCCTTTTGTTTTCCTTTCTGATTTCCTTACCACCCACCTACCTTATTAAGATTATGGTGATTTTCTTAGTGTTGCTTAGATGTGGCACAAGGGCAATAGTATAAGGCATACAGTATTTTCTGCATATTTTCTTAATAATAATTCGGATTTCTTTGTCACGTGTCGCGTTTTATTTAAACTGCTTAAATGTATGTATTCAGCTCCAATTCTTACCGTCTACCTAGCGTTGTGGCTCTTGCTAATGACTCTACATGTTGTCTTTTTTACCATTGACACTGCTGCTTTCTTTATTATATTGTTTAAGCATAGCTGTATTTTTTTTTTCATCGCCACGGTGTCCAATGCGTATCTCATTTTGTTAATTTTTTGCCCATTAATGGAAACGGTGCAAATAAATGAATAAAGAAATTATAACGAAGCTTCTCTTTTGAAATTTATAAATTTACATTCGATCGGGCCATTGAATATCTCTTGTCTGGTTATTCGATTGTATATCTTGTTGTGTAGGAAAACGATAGATCTATACATTAATTGTTGAACCTGGGCTCGTCCATCCATTCTGGGTAGAATGTCTGCTCATCGGAATGTTTCCTCGCTATGTGGGTCGCAAGGCGTAGCGTTTGAATCATGCGCCTTGCTGAAGTGAACTGAGATATTCTTGATTACTGTATTGTTAATGCATATAACTAAAGTGATTAAATCTGTTCTTCATTTAATCTTTTGTTCCAGTCTTTGCTTTAAAGTATTATTAACCTGAACAACGACTGTTATACGAACTTTATAATATAATATGAAATGTTTAGAACAATTTAAATATCTCGGAAAGTTTTTAACAGAAGACGGAACGTGGCACACTGAAATCCGTAGGCGGACTGGTATAGCAAAAGATGCCTTCCAAAAGCGAAGCAAAGTATTAAGAAACGAGAAAATTTCGTCAGAAACCATGGAAAGCGAACTAAACTGTTACGAACTATCAATCCTCCTATATGGCAGTGATGCTGGACAATCTCACAGATCATGAAGTGACAGTAATATGGATCTACAGAAGGATGCTGAGAATACCATTGACAGTTAGTTCTTTTTGTCCTGCTTTCTTTATTACATTGTTTAAGCATATCTATATTTTTTTCTGGGTTTGGCATCGCCACGGTGTCCACTGCGTATCTCATTTTTTTAAGATTTTGCTCACTAATGGAAACGGTTCAAATAAATTAATAAAGAAATTACAACGAAGCTTCCCATTTGTAATTTATAAATCTACATTCGATCGGGCCATTGAATATTGCAGCCATCTCTGGTTCTTTCTTCGAGTGTATATCTTGATGTGTAGGAAAACTATAGATCTATACACTAATTGTTGAACATGGACTCGTCCATCCATTCTGGGTAGAATGTCAACTCATAGGAACGTTACTCGCAATGTGGGTCGCAAGGCGTAGTGTTTGAGTTATGCTTGTCTCCTCTGTTACTTTATTGTTTGTCGCCAAAACTGTTTCAATTTGAGGTCATAAATTAACATGTTCTCTCATCTTCGGTGACATTGTCCACTGATTCGACAATATTTTGCCATCTTTGTCTGTCCTCTGAGAGTTTGCGGATTCGTTAAAGATCTTCCTTGATTGCAAAAAGAAAAGTGGGATCTTTCTGCTTTGATCTTTGAACGTCTCACAACGACTATGGTGGTTCTACGATGAACTCTGAACGTTTTGAAATCAGTTTTTTCAAAGTAAAACTCCATGGCTTTGTTAACTGGCCATCCGGGATCCATTCTGTTTGTTGAAATTCGTAAGTTTTTTCTTGAAAAGTGTTCTGTATTACAGACACACGGTCTGATAATTTCGAACATCGATGAACATTACTCTTCCATTTATTGTTGACAACAAATCCGTTTCCATAATGTTTGCATTCTTTCTCTAAACATATCAGCAGGTGTTAGATTTTGCCAATGTTATAGTTCAGACCAGGTCCAATTTTTCATTTTTAAAATATTGTCTTTCTCAGTATTCAGCGTAATTGCAGCAGCCATTACCTACTTCACCGAGAATGTATTGCTAATCCATGTCTCTTTCGTGTGATCAAACCTGTTCTTGATTCACCCTTTTGTTTCAGTGTTTCCCTTACAGTATTATTAACCCGAACTATGCCTGTTAAACGAACTTTATAGTATAAAATCAAACGCGTACAACAATTTAAATATCTCGGAATATTTTGAATAGAAGACGGAAAGAGCGTCACTGAAATAGGAAGGCGCATTGGGATAGCGAAAGATGCCTTCCACAATCTAAGTAAAGTATTAAGAAACGGAAAGAAACAAAGAAAAGGGTACTGCACTGTTACAAAATATCAGTCCTTCTATATGACAGTAATGCTGAACAATCTCTTCACAGATGAAGAGGCATGAAGCAACAGTGATGTGGTTCTACAGAAAGAGGCTGGGAATATCATGGACTAAACATGTGAGTAACGGAGGAGATTTAGAGAAAATGGAAACAAAAAGGAAGTCGTTAAGAGCCATGATTTCTCATGTTTCGTATCGAAACGGTACAGAGAAAAATAATAATACATTTTATAAATTAATTCTCTACTTGATATAAAAAAGGAAGCGAAAGAAAGAAATACCAAATTAAAATGTTTATTTAACCAAAATAACAGAATTGTTTGATAACCTAGACATAGTTAGAAAGGATATTCGAATAATCCAGAACATGTACTAACAGCAAGCCGCCTGCATACGAATTAAAAATGGAATCAGTAAATATCAAAAAAAAATGTAAGTAGTGTAAGCCAAGCATGTGTCTTCTTAACGGATTTATTCAACTTATGCAGTTGGACAATACTGAGAGGATTAGGTCTCCTACCAGGATTTATTATCGGCGGTTATAATCTTAAAAGAAACATAAAATATGCAAATGACACAGCGTTCATACCAGATGCAGTAGGTAAACTTCAAGAACACTTACAGAATGTAGAGAAGGAAAAAGAGAAGACATGCTTAAGAATCAATGAAACGAAGAAAGAACACATGATAGTTAAGAAAAGTTATAACCTGAATTACAAATTGGAGATAACAAAATGTTGTGTAGAAAGACGGCCGACTTTCTTTATATTAATGGTTGAACACAAACTCCTTCATCCGATAAGACGAGATCGTCTGCTCATAGGAACGGTCATCGTAAAGTGGGTCGCAAAGCGAAACGTTTGAACCGTACCCATTGCCGCACTGAAATTCTCTATTATTGTATTATTAATTCATGTCTCTATCGTGTGATGAAACCTGTTCTTGAGTCAACCTTTTTTTTCTAGTGTTTCCCTTACAGTATTACTAAGCAGATCTACGAGCGTTATACAACTTTTATAGCAGGCATACATTTATTTAAAAATGGAATACGAAGAGTTGAGACAGAAAGAAACTATGTTAAGAAAGAAGCATATTTGCCAACGGGCGATTTTCTGGTTAATATGGAATTTTTTTTTTTTTTGTTCTTTGACAATGAAATATTTCGTTCCTTTATTCTTTCTTATTTTTTTTATCTGCCACTTTTTCTTTTTGGCTTGCATTTCATTCATTGATTCTTTCATTCATTGATTCTTTCATTCATTGATTCTTTCATTCTGTCTATCGGCCTGACACGTTTTTAATTAATTATTCGTTTTTTTTTTTCTATTTTGTTTTCTTTCATTGAGTCTGCCGCTTTGCTCGTTTTTTTTTACTTTTTGTTTATTTCTCTTTTCTTTCTTTTTTAGTTTTTTCTTTGTTTATTTCTCTTTTCTTTCTCTCTTTCTTTTTTAGTTTGGTTCTATTTTCTTTCTTTCTTTCTTTTTTCTTTCTTTCTTAGTTTGTATTTCTCTTTATTTCTCTTTTCTTTCTTTCAATCTATTTTCTTTCTTTCTTTCTTTCTTTCTTTCTTAGTTTGTGTTTTGTTGTTATTTCTCGTTTGTTTATCTCTTTTTTGTCTTTCTTTTTTTGTTTATTTTTATTTTCTTTCTTTCTATTTTCTTTCTTTCTTAGTTTGGATTTCTCTCTATTTCTCTTTTCTTTCTTTCAATCAATTTTCTTTCTTTCTTCCTTTCTGTCTTTCTTACTGTCTTTGTTTGTATTTTGTCTTTCTTTCTCTTTTCTTTCTCTATTTCTTTTTCAGTTTGTCCTTTTTTTTTCTTTATATTTCTTTTCTTTCTTTCTTTCGTAGTTTGCATTTCTCTTTATTTCTCCTTTTTTTTCCTCTTTCTTTTTTAGTTTGTCCTTTTTTATTTATATTTCTTTCTTTCTTTCTTTCTTTCTTTCTTAGTTTGTAGTTCTCTTTATTTATCTTTTATTTCTCTCTTTCTTTTTTAGTTTTTCCTTTTTGTTTATATTTCTTTTCTTTCTTTCTTTCTTTCTTTCTTTCTTTCTTTCTTTCTTTCTTAGTTTGTCTTTCTCTTTATCTATTCCTCTTTTATTTCTTTCTTTCTCTCTTTCTTTTTTAGTCTGTCTCTCTTTTTTGTTTATATCGCTTACCTTTTGATCCTTCATACTGACCCAATACTAAGATGGCTAAGAAAGCAGCCATGAATCTTAAACGCGGTGGATAGACATTGTTGTGTAGAAGGACGTCCCTCCTTCTCTACACTAATGGTTGAACATGGCATCATTCATCCGCTATGAGGAGATCGTCTGCTCATAAGAACGGTCTTCGCAAAGTGGGTCGCAAGACGTCGTGCTTGAGTCGCACGCATTGCCCCACTAAACTACATTATTCCCTATTACTGCAATATTAATCCATCTGTCTTATGTGTTTAAACCTATTCTCTATTTAATCTTTTGTCCCTGTTTTTCTCTTACACTATTATTAATCCGAACTACAAGCATTATACGATGCTTATAACATATCTCGATAAAAGAGTCTGTAATGTAATCCATCTTGACCAGGAATTTAGACATTTTCTCACCGACGTGACGTGGCTTCCCTCTATCTTTTCCCCAGCTGTTTTCATGGTAACTCTTTTGATGAGCTTTTATTTCCTGGTGCCTTATTACAACGAATTTAAGTGGCAACTAGTTATCACTGTTTTACTGCTGATCTAGCTAAAAGTAACCGCCACTACTATAACAATAATTTCTTTTCTCGCACTTCTGACTTGTTGAACTCCGTTCCGATTTCATATTTTCTCTGGCACCTACAATCTTCAAAAATATAAACGTAACATCAATCGCCATCTTCTTTCACTCTTTTTTCTAGTTTTTTTGTTTATATCTCTTTCTTTCTTTTTTTCTTTCTTTCTTTCTTTCTTAGTTTGTCTTTCTGTTTTGTTTATATATCTTAGCTGCTGATCCTTCATCCTGATCCAATACTCACATAGCTAAGAAAGCAGCTATGAATCTTAAACGAGGTGGATAGACATTGTGGTGTAGAAAGACGACACTACACTAATCTCTACACTTATTGTTAATCACGTAATCAACCATCTGCTACAAGAATGACGTTTGCTTGTTGGAACGGTCGTCGCAAAGTGGGTCGCAAGGCGTAGCGTTTCAGCTGTACGCATTGCCCCACTAAATTACACTATTCTCTATTACTGCAATATTAATCCATCTGTCTTATGTGATTAAACCCATTACCCATTTAATCTTTTGTTCCAGTGTTTACACTCTTATTAATCAGAACTACAAGCATTATACGATGTTTGTAAAATATCTCGATAAAAGAGTCTGTAATGTAATCCGTCTTGACCAGGCATTCGGACATTTTCCCACTGACGTGACATGGCTCTTTCCCACAACTGTCTTCATGGCAATTGTTCTGATTAGCTTTTATTTCCCGGTGCTTTATTACAACGAATTTAAGTTGCTACTAAATTGGCAATTAGTTTTACTGCTGATCTACCTAAAAGCAACCGCAACTTCTATAACAATATTTTCGTTTCTCGCACTTCTCACTTGTTGAACTCTGTTCCTATTTCATATTTCTCTGGCACGTACAATCTTCAAAAATATAAACGTCACATCAATCGTCATCTTCTGTCTATCTGAAGCATGTTCCTTTATTGTCCATTCTTTATTATTCCTCAGGAAGTTTTCCGCATTCTTTTTCATTCATTGTAGACCCCCCACTGCGCCATTATCGCTTTCAATGGGAGTGAAACGAATAACACAATATAACTGATAATATACTCTTTTTTGATCCTAATGTTCACTCAATGTAAGGCTCGAGAGTCAGCCAAGGTAGCGGATTATTGGATGAGTTGTGTGATATGAACGAGAAGACAAGCGGTAACCAGAGAAGATTATGAAGATTAAATAACAATTGAACTTTGTCAAAGAGAGGTTCTGATCTTATATATTCAGGGAAGTATATACGCGGGAGTCTGTATTACAGAACAATGGATCTCCTGAAAAGAAAAAAATGATTTTGGATTACAAATATTTGCTTAGAATTGGAATAACGAGAGATAGCGGTGGTTAAATTCTGTGGGCGTAGCAGGCGTTACTTAGTTGTAAATGTCAGTACTGGTGGACGTAGCAGAGCGTGTCTTAGTTTTAAATGTTTGATCTGGTGAACATAGCAGAGCATGTCTTAGTTGTAAATGTTTGATCTGGTGGACGTGGTAGGGCGTGTCTTACTTGTAAATGTCTGAAGTGGTAGACGTAGAAGTGCGTATCTTAGTTGTAAATGTCCGAGATGATGGGCGTAACAGGGCGTGTCTTAGTTGTAAATATCTGAAGTTGTGGATACAAATGGGCTGTCTTCGTTATAAATATTTCAACTGGTGTACGTAGGTGGGCGTGTCTTTGTTGTAAATATCTGAACTAGTAGACGTATCAGGGTGTAAAGTTATAAATATAAGTATGTATGTTAGCTTAAATATTTGACGAAACTTGCCAAATAATGGGTCTATGAAAAAACGACTTATTTTTCTTTTTAATTCATTGAGGGGAAATTATTTTTCTGGGCGCCATATTTCTATTACAATTTAGATATTTCACGCCAGTTTTCCTGGAAATCATTGTTTTATTTTGAAAACATCACCCACATTCAACTGAAATAAATCAGGAAAAACGAAATAAAAACAAAATGCTCTCTTACGCTGTTTTTTTTTTTTTTCAGACAATTATCGATAAAAGAATTATTACATTTATACGTTATCCAAGTTGATGCCAAAAGCGACGTTATTGGGATAATTTGATTGTTTTTTTATTTGTAGATTTTCTATCACCTTATTGTATATTTTATCACGTAGATGTAATTTACATATGTCTATGAATGATTATGTTTTTGGTCGATCATAATCTCGCGTTTGCGATGATTTGTTTATGGCAAAAACAGTTAATTGAAAGAAAGCACATCTGGTTTCAAGAAATGGCTTGTGAATATTAACACCTCCAAAACGAAACTCTTATCCTTTAATCATCATAGAGAATCATTTGGGCCTTTCATCAGCATGGCTGATGCTAACCTCCCGGAGATCAAATTATTGCACCGTCTTCGTCTCATATTTTTGATGACATGAAATGGAGTGAATGCATTCTGTGTCTGTAGCTAACTAAGAAGGTTGGTGCACTGTGTCTTGCCAGACTATCTATTTTTCACGACAGAATTCATAAATATAATTTTCAACAGGGGTGGCACAACTATAATAATACAATATATTATAAATTAATTGATTTAAAATATGTTTTTTTCCGCTACACAGTTCTAACCATGTTTCAAAAATGGAAGCTAATAGTAACGAATTTAATTTTGCAATTAAATTAAAGACATTAGTTCCATTTCATCCTCAAGCGAACTTTTAAAATTACTGGGTTTTAAAGACACAGCTAAAATCACGTTTCCAAGGTTACAGATGAATCTACTTCAACTGGACAAGGGGTGACTGGGTTTTCCTTATGTCTGCATCATTGTATATATATATATATATATATATATATATATATATATATATATATATATATATAATTATTTATTCGATAATTATAACATAAATTATAACTTAAATATGTTTAAGTGATTATATAACGTATTTATGTTATAATTGTCGAATGAATAATTATATTTGCTCTATTCTGTATTGAGCACTCTTTTAAGAATAGTATTTGTTGATTATTGGAATTTATTCCATATACACCAATCCTATACTTGCATGTGTGTATGTGTGTGTGCATATATATATATATATATATATATATATATATATATATATAAACCTAAAGAGCCAGATAAACCTACCTAGCGTAGGGGAAACCTATGTAGGTTTGTCTGGCTCTTTAGGTTTGCTTAGTTTGCTCTGCTTAGCGTATTGAGCACTTTGCTTAGTTATTTTTATTTTACTCGTGCCGGAGGTTTTTTTTTTTGACTCTGAACTTTGTTTCTGGACGATTATTTTCGCCGGAAGTACATGTCCTTAGTTCTTTCTTTTTCCCCTTTTTTCCCCTTATTAATTTACAAGCTAAAACACCCAAGGTTTTTGCCGGACGAGTATACCTGCTTATATATATATATATATATATATATATATATATATATAGCCGAGTGGTTGGAAAGTTAGATTTCTTAGCCTGAGACTCGGGTTCGATTCGAATCTCACCATGGCCCATTTGTCAGGAAGAAGACTTCCTGTTGTTATCGATTTGGACTGAGGGAACAATTCCAGCGCGCGACACCTTTGGAAAGTGTCTGAAACGATACCACGGGTTGTCCAAAGCCTTACGAGTGAAACTGGGTGAAAGGAATACTTGGTACCGTCGATAGCTGTGCTAGAACGAAGTCACAAGTCAACGTGGCCGAGGGTTTCAGTGTGCTGGTGTTGTTCAGATTTTTGATCATTCTAGATAACACGCTCTCTCCCAGAAACTGCAACTAAGGTCTTGTCAGCATACTTGCAGTATAAACCACCGGATGGCTCTGTGGGTGTTGAACAAACACAAATGTGCCTGAACGAGAACCTGCAATAGCGATTGGCTAGACGCCCCAGTAGACGGGTCTATCTATATATATCTATCTATCTATATATATATATATATAGATATCTATCTATCTATCTATCTATCTATCTATCTATCTATATATATATATATATATATATATATATATATATATATATATATATATATATATATATATATATATATATATATATATATATATATATATATATATATATATATATATATATATATATATATATATATATATATATATATATATATATATATATATATATCTATATATATATATATATATATATATCTATATATATATCTATCTATCTATCTATCTATCTATATATATATATATATATATATATATATATATATATATATACAGGGTGGGATAGATAAATTACATCTATATTACGAAAAAATGAAAATAGCACTCACATTTTAACATATTGTTGAGGGGTTCTACCCTTTTGACACAAATGGACTCACCCAGGATATACATATACTACTACTATTGAATACCCGGGAGTGAGCGAACGACAAAGACGAACGAGCACGAACGTAACTAGTAAGAGTCACAGTGAGCTAGCACGTAGACTCAGTAAGAAGTCATACAGCGATACGTCGATACCAAAGACTGTATAGATATTTTGCTACTAACCCGCATTCCTGGAACTACTCACCTGCATTACTAGTTTGTATTATTACGTTAATACGTTTATATTCATTCTTGGCGTTTGTTATTTATTGGTACCGGATTTCATCGCGGAATCCACAACACATATATTTACCAAAATTATACAAAAATATCTTGAAATATTAGAGAGTAAATTTTTTTCATTGAAATCACAGCCATTCTTATTGTATAAGTTGGTGAATTCTGCACCCCACAACTCTGATAACACATCCAAGGGAAGTAAATACATCCTTGTGTAAATTAATTGAAACAACCGCTTCAGTTTACTTTCTTTCACCATACGGTCAGTTTTAAACCCACTGGAGTGACAGGGTGTAATCGATTTCTATTTTTACCTCAGATTAGATCATTTGCAGAGTTGTGCAGTAATATGAATCTATTTTCGGGGTGTATAATGAAATTTGTTTGGCCTTGAAAAATATTGCGTCATCCGTGATTGCATCATATTTTTATTACGCCCAGACACTATTCTCTCGACTGTCGATTAGGTGCCCTACGGCCACTGTTCCTGATGGACGTTACTCCGTACGAAAATTGCACGCTGCACGAACACACTGAGAGGATTTACCAGTGAACAAATCAAAGTATAGACTGGCCTGGGATCTCTCCTGATTTAAATATAATCGAGAATCTGTGGTCCATCTGCAAGGAACAACTTCGTGGAATGGACATACGAAGTACTAACATGTGTACTGGCTTATGCTTCATTGGAAAAATACGAAAAAATAAATAGTAACTGAATTATTCGTTTTGTTTCAATGAATTTGCACAAGGGTGTAATTTGTATCTAAATATATACTTATGCATACAGTGTGTGATAAATTGCCGCAAAAATGAAACTAACACAGACACTTTAACAGATATATTTACCAAAATTGCACAAAAATATCTTGAAATATTAGAGAGTAAATTTTGTCAATAAAATCGTCATTGGTATCAACCACGGCGTTCAGACGAATACGGAATCACCCGCAACTCTTTTTGACGTTCTCATTGTATAAGTTGGTGAATACCGCCATAATCCTTGCCTTCAGTTCATCTTTGGTGTTACAAAAAGTTTTGTTGGTCTTTCACTAAACTACGACCCACACATAATAATCAAGGGTGGCAAAGGTTGTGGGCCAGATGATAGGGCGCGTTATTTGTTTTTGATCTTGTATTCAGTAAATTAGGACCAGTTGGGTACCTCCTATGAGAAAAAAAGAGCACCTTGATGCAATTCATCACTCCAGAAATTTGGAAACGGCATGCTGTACTGCTTGGGATTCGCACCAGCAGCATCAATATGAACATTTCAAAGTCTTTGTGTGTAAATCTACGGATAGACGAAGGAATTCAGAAAGAGTTGGATGAGTCTAATTGTGATTAAAAACTTGTTTGGAGCGATCACTAGTGATAGAAATGTTACGCCTCCAATCATCTTATCATAGGGCCTCAATCAATGCGGAGGCCTACATCAAGAGTCTTGAGGCGGTAGTGCTGCCCTGAGTCGAGAGGTTGGATGCTGGAAGACCATATTTCTGGCAGCAAGAGTTGCCACCATGATTCAGAAGCAGAAGAATTGTGTCATGGCTGTCAGAAATTTCTGCCATTTTTGTTCGAAATATGAAAACAACAAATCATCCACCTATACTTAAACTGGTCGTGTTTTTGTTTGTTTGTTTAGTTTTATGCCATACCATTTTATGTAGTAGGTGTTCATAGCTCACCTCTGACACCGTTTCTTCATTAGCTCTGAATTTCTTTAAATTGTCAGGAAATACAGGGTATTTCAAAAAATTTGATATCCTTTGAGATGTAAATATCACCGAAAGTACATGATAAAGGCAAATGAAATTAAAAAAGTATTAATGTTGAAGATCATAAGATTTATTCTTCCAATCACGATGTCAGGGCGAGTAGCTCTGATTGTTCTCTCTGTGTGTAAAATTGTTATGTCTGTAGCCGTGGTGTTCATGCCAACTTCTCGCAGTTTCCTTTCTGTAAAAGTTGCATATTTCCCGAGTGCAGATATTGGCCCACTCCGTCATGCCAGGTTTTATATTCAGTCGATGCTAACACCGTGAAACCTGATACAAGACAGTCAATTATTTCTTGATATTTATCACAGAATCTGCATTTGAGGGTGAACCCAATTCTACAGCATGTGTGCTTGGTAATTTCTAGTTAGCAAGCATGGGCCCTGTGCAGCCAGAATAAACCCTTCGGTTTCAGATTTTAACCCTGCCCTAGGTAACCACTTATGGGTACGGGATTTGTCTACATGCGTGGTACGGGTAGAGTATTGATGATTAAGAGATTTATCTTGCCATCGTTTCTACATTTGGTATACTGCATTTTCTTTTGCTTGCTTTCTTAGATTCGTTACTGCTTCAGTCGGTATACAGGCTGTTTCAAAAAATTGGATATCCTTTGAGATGTAAATATCACAGAAAGTACATGATTAAGGCAAATGAAATTAAAAAGTATTAATGTTGAAGATCATAAGATTTATTCTTCCAAATCTGAATGAGAAATTCAAAAGCATGTGGATTATGTGAACGATTTCACAAATGTCAAGTTTGTGGTCGTCCGGATCCTTTTGCTCTGCACAGACAGCCTTCCTCTTTGAACTTTTTATGCCATCTCCAAATCTGCATTCCTGTTGGTGACTTTCTAGAGAACTCTCTCATAAATGCACGCTGCACAGTCTTATTTGACTGTGTTCTAGCAAACTCCAACACACAAAACGCCTTTTCTCTTCTAGTAAATAGCATTTTTATACCTGTAAAGAAAAAGATTAAAGATTAAAGAACATAAAAATACAAATAAGAAAAACACAAAAACATAAAAACATAAAACAAACATTAAACATAAAGATGCTATTAAAATTTGAAGTCATTTGAAGGAGATCTAACAAAGTTATTAGATTGCGAAATGATATCAAATTTTTTGAAACACCCTGTATATATATATATATATATATATATATATATATATATATATATATATATATTGGAAGATTTTCAGTTTTTCCTACTCAGCAACATTCGTGGAATACTTCTCCTAGACTGGCTACCAACGAAAGAGAGATAATCGGGTCGTTCCTACCATTTAACTCATAGCTCACGGGGATAAGTGACAGATCCATGGAATTTTTCAAACATTGTTAAAAAGTAAACACTGAAAACTTAGCCGGAATTCGAACTCGGGTTCTTCATTCCAAAATCTTATCTAATAACCTCGCTACCCTATAAAAACTTAGTTGAGCTTACAGGTGTTGAATTTAAATATATATTTCGCAGTTTCTGTGGCTGATTCTTTGATCGTTTCTGATTCCGTACGTTCAATATCTTTGAATTTCCATTACTTCTTAGGAAGGACTGAAGAATGTATCAGTGTTTCATTCTCCTAGGCTGGCTATCACCCAAGGCAAGAGAACCTAGATGTTCCTGCTATTTAACCCAAGAAATAGCTGCATGCATTTTTCAAACATTTTTACAAATTGAACACTGAATACTGTTGAAACCTAGAAAAGATTACTGAATGAGGAATAACCGAAAGGTTGGAAATGAAATGGTAATCATTATAACATTAACAAAATACAATACTCGCCAGCGGCGTGAAGTAGGTAAACCACTGCTAGTGGTGGACTACAGCATATTACCCCCACGTATAATAGTTTGCAACGTATTTATGCGGATTGGGACATATCCATTAGTGTTGATAGGTACTATATATAACACTATCTATAAATCATTTCTATCTATCTATCTATCTATCTATCTATCTATCTATCTATCTATCTATCTATCTATCTATCTATCTGTCTGTCTGTTGTAACATAGAAAGGGTTAATGAATGAGGAATAACCAAAACAGAGATTGGAAATGAAATGATAATCATTCTCACATCAGCAAAATACAATACTCGCCAGCGACGTGAATAGGTAAACCACTGCTAGTGATGGACTACTTATACAGTATAGTACCCAACTTACAACAGTGTGCTATGTACTTATAAGGATTGTGTTCATAGTCACTCTATATAACACTATCTATCTATCTATCTATCTATCTATCTATCTATCTATCTATCTGTCTGTCTGTTGTAACATAGAAAGGGTTAATGAATTAGGAATAACCAAAACAGAGATTTGAAATGAAATGATAATCATTCTAACATCAACAAAATACAATACTCGCCAGCGACGTGAATAGGTAAACCACTGCTAGTGATGGACTACTTATACAGTATAGTACCCAACTTACAACAGTGTGCTATGTACTTATAAGGATTGTGTTCATAGTCACTCTATATAACACTATCTATCTATCTATCTATCTATCTGTTGTAATATAGAAAGGGTTAATGAATGAGGAATAACCAAAACAGAGATTGGAAATGAAATGATGATCTTTATAACATCAACAAAATACAATACTCGCCAGCGGCGTGAATAGGTAAACCACTGCTAGTGATGGACTACTTAGTCATCATATTACCCAACTTACAACAGTGTGCAATGTATTTATGAGGATTGGGACATACCCATTAGTGTTCATAGTTACCGTATATAACAAAGACTAAACCTGAATTCGAACCCGGCTTCCTCGATCCAGATTCCCCATAAGTGACCATTACGCTACCCCCCCATATCCTTCTTTCCTATAAACACTTTGTGGCGCTTTACAGGTGCCGAAGTTGAAGATACTTTCACGACATTTGTGATTGTTTCTTTCTGTCGTTGGAAAATAACAGAAAAACAATCGAGCACTTGACTCTTGTTCAATTTTGATCGTTGTTTTCATTTCATCGCTAAAGTTAATTGCGAACCGGGTTTCAAAATCGAGCTGACCGCCCCTGTAATAATGCGGCCATAGACTGATGGAACAAAGACGTGGGTGAGAAACTAAAATGTTCATTTCTTTAAGGGCCTTTTACTGGAGAACAAATTGAGCATGCTAATGTACACTAATTATAGTGGGTGACACGCTTGATTAGAGATAACTTGATGCGGTCATGAATCAAGTGACATCTGATCCTTGAGACCGGCTAAGTGGCTTTTGTAACAAGTCATTCTCGCTAAGTTATCTGAGGAAGATGTAATCTATTTTTCGGAAAAGTATTAAAAATAAATAAATAGAATTTCATCTTTGAAATTCGGGATGATCTCAAACATGATTCTGCTCGAGGTTGTTTGAGTAAGATCCAATGTCATATAGTAACTGTAGAATATTGCGAGCTACTGAGATTTATTTTAATCTAATTGAAATGAGAACTCTCATTCCATGATCTCGTCTCTGTACACTTCCAGGAAAGAATTAAGCCGTTTAATATTAACCTAAAATGATATCTACAGCAATTTTTAAAAGTAGAAATCATTTTTAAGGGATTGCTATCAGCTGTTTCATTCTTTTCTGGTGACAAAGATGAGGACAATAGTCTGAATAATGTAAATAGTGTACATAATACCTCATCTCAGAAATATAGACAGATACTAAAAGGCCGAAACGTTGTAATAAATATGGCCACAAAGATGAGGACAATAGTCCGTATAATGTAAATAATGTACATAATACCTCATCTCAGAAATATAGACAGATACAGAAAGGCCGAAACGTTGTGATAAATATGGCAAAAAAGTTGAGGAAAATAGTCCCAATAATGTAAATAATGTACATAATACCTCATCTCAGAAATATAAACATATACTGAAAGGCCGAAACGTTGTAATAAATATGGCGACAAAGATGAGAACAATAGTCCGAATAATGTAAATAGTGTATATAATACTTCATCTCAGAATTGCGTCTAGTATGAAACAGCCTGTCACCTCTGAGTATTGACTTCAATGTTTACTTTCATATTTATATTTAAATACTCTCTATCTCTGATATTGAGCATTTTATCCCATAAATATAGCACACCTTATATATATATATATATATATATATATATATATATATATATACCTTTAAATTAATCACCCTCTCATATAATGCCATTTTCCATCTTTCTCTATAACGCTTCTGTGCATTATTCTTCTTGAATTCCTCTCAGTTCTGTAGTTTTTCATCGTCTCCCCGCCTTCAAAACGGGTCCGCTTGGTGATTCCTTTGTTCTTGAGGAAAAGAAAAAAAATGATCGCACGGAGCCAGATCAGGTGTATAGGGAGGTTGTTCTTGTAAATCGATGTTCTTCTCTACCGGGAAAGTGTGTACAGTGTGGTCGTGTCATCACACCACAGAGGTTTTATTAGTGACCATAGCTTGTGCAGGTGCTTGGAGTTGAACACATCATATTCACCAGGTTTCGCCCCATACACAATTCACAAATCAAATCCCACTTGAAAGGACAAAGAAATAAAGACCAGGGAGTCCAAAGGAATGCGACGAGGCAGCTGTTCGTTATCCCAAATAAAGGAGTTCCAGAAATGCTTCCATCAATATGCTCAGGTTGTTGTGAGGAGTTGCATTGTCGTTGCGAAGTGGGATGAAAACTGTGGAAACTCATAAACAACATCCGATAACACACACACACACACACACAGACACACACAGACACACAGCCACAATCACATTTTGAGAATTAGAGATATAGATAATTGGGAAGCATGCAAGCGATTTGCATCGAAGAGAGAAACAAAGACAGACAGACAGACAGGCAGGCAGAGCTAGAACGTGTGAGAATGAAGAAAATGGTATCAGAGCGTAGTTTAAAAATTCAATGTCGGTCAGATGCATTATACAGCCACTGTAAGTGTTAGAAAAAAAAACTAGGCAGAACGGTTGGACAGACATGGTAGATTGTAATGCAGTTACCTCATGGCGAAAGTCGAAAATGGCTTCTATCGTCGTCCTCGTTGAAATATCTAAGGAATCAATAATAGTGCTAGACACAGAGAAAACAAATCTAAAGTAGGATGATGCTTTATGCGTAGTGTTTGCAAAATTTGACGCCATCTTCGGAGAAGAGTTGAATGTTTCAACATTGTTGGCGTAGTAGACGTTCTGACACGATGACAGATCCATAGCGATTATTTTGGACATTTTTGGAACAAACTGAAAAACCATTTTATAATTTTGCCTGAAACTGTCTTCGATTTCCTTCAATGCGAAGACTCTATATCTCTGAATAATACAATGTTTTTTTGTTGCTCTTAGTAAACGTTTGCCTTTTTGTTATATCTCCAAATCCCCATTCCGCCAACTATTTACATAAACTTGTTATGTGGGTGCTTAACTGCTTTCTTCTGACCCTATATAATTCTTGACAGTGTCAAATTCTCCAAGCCATCTTTCCTCCTTATGTGGCTGAGAAAGTTAAGTTGTCTCTTTCTGATGTTACGTATAAAAATCCTTTTTATTTCCATATTTTTCTATGCTCAATTGTTCAGTCTATGGTATTCTCAGCATCCTTCTGTAGAACAAAATTTCACTATTTATATTATTCGGACTATTGTCCTCGTCTTTATTGCCACATTTATCACAGCGTATCTGTCGTTATACACTTAGGTCTCCTTCAGGTAGTTGGAATGTCGAACTGGACCCTTTATTTCGCTAGCTTGGGTAGACTGTTCTAGTTCCACGTGCCATGAATATCAGTTATCAGTTATCTCGTGTTAATTCACCTCTCCAAGTTCTACACTGCCTAAACATGGTATTGAACTCACAGCTCCTTGGGGCCTGTCACTGGATCTAACTAACAACTTTATCCACTGTGTCAAGTGTCCTTATGATCAGGACAATAGTCCGAATAATGTAAATAGTGTACATAATACCTCATCTCAGAAATATAGACAGATACTGAAAGGCCGAAACGTTGTAATAAATATGGCGACAAATATGAAGACAATAATCCGAATAATGTAAATAGTGTACATAATACCTCACCTCAGAAATATAGACAGATACTGAAAGGCCGAAACGTTGTAATAAATATGGCGAGAAATTTAAGGACAATAGTCCGAATAATGTAAATAGTATACATGATACCTCATTTCAGAAATATAGACAGATACTGAAGGGCGGAAACGTTGTGATAAACATGGCGACAAAGATGAGGACAATAGTCCGAATAATGTACATAATGTACATAATGCCTCATCTCAGAAATATAGACTGAAACTGAACAATATTTCAGTTGCCTCAGCTCTCTTCTTCATGTACTGAGATGGACCAGCATTCAATGAGTTATAGCTCTAGCATAATTTTCTATGTTTCCAATGAAATGTCTCCGTCGCTTAATAACATGTTTTAACATTTGGATGGCATCATATCCTATCCCAACACCCCAAGTTTGTAATTCGCATGTAAGACATTTTTTTTTGCTGCAAAACCATGCATTCCGTTTTCTTAGAGTTGATGATTAGTCCTTTCTTCTCGCTCTCCTCTACCACCTTCTATAGTCAGTCAGTCAGTCAGTTATGAGCCATGCGTGATACACGCTTAGGCGATCATGTATCTTTCGATACATGACTGACGAGGCAGGCGTTTTCCCGCAGTAGGTTGCCATTTCTTTTTGCGGTAGGCCAGATGCCATCCAAGGCTACAGAACCCGGTCTGTCCTGCTATTTACTCATAGGTGGGGGGAGAAGAAGAGGATTCATACCTTTCTCAATGGTATTAAAACGTAAGTGAATGTAATGAATTCGACTGCAAAGTCAGTTATGTGCCATGCGTGAAGCACGCTTAGGCGGTCATGTATCGAAAGATACATGACAGACGAGGCAGATTTCTTTTCCCGCAGTAGGTTGCCATTTCTTTCTGCAGTAGATCAGTTGGCATCCAAGGTTATAGAATCCAGTCTGTCCTGCTACTTACCCATAGCTGAGGGGAGAAGAAGAGGATTAATACCTTTCTCAAGGGTATTAACACGTAAGTGAATGTAATGAATTCGACTGCAAAGTCAGTTATGTGCCATGCGTAATACACGCTTAGGCGATCATGTATCTTTCGATACATGACTGACGAGGCAAAATTTTTCCCACAGTAGGTTGCCATTTCCTTTTGCGTTAGACCAGTTGCCATCCAAGACTATAGAACCCGGTCTGTCTTGCTATTTACCCATAGCTGAGGGGAGAATAAGATGATTCATACCTTTCTCTAGGCTATTAGCACGTAAGTGAAATGTAATGCATTCGACTAGAATTCGAACTCGGCTCTCCGATTCCTCCATACACCACGTAATTATCTTTCTATGTCTGCTGCCAACATCGTGATTTTTTTTTTTAGGGCGGGGGGATTTGGCATATACACTGCCAAAAGGAAACCATCTAAGAATTTAGTAATTAATATTTTCAAGAACAGAATTTCAATGTTTTTCGTAAAAACCACTGATGCCGATAATTCTTGGCCTGAACGAAAGAATCTTTATTGCAAATGTGCATTAAAACCCTCGAAAATGCTCACTGGACATTGCGTGGTTTGCGTTTTAAATATATAGAATATTTTTTTATAATGTCTTTCACTTCTAACCAGGATGTGACGTTGTTGTAATTGACAGGAGATCCGAATGAGAAATTATAATGTACATAAACAACTGGAGCAATTCTGAATAATATTCGGGATCAGCGTACTCGATTAAGTCTAAAACGTACGCTTTTTCATCAGAGGCAACATTTTTTGTTGCCTGATGTAATCCCCGTATTTTCAGTCGTATAAGACGCAATTTTAAACCTTACAATTTAATTTCAAAATCTACATTCGTCTTATACATCAAAAATGATATTAATAACATATATACAGGAATCCTGTGAATAGTGCGGCTAATGTGCACATTAAAAGATAGGCAAAACGTATTCTTCGAATATAACATCTTACTGGAAATGATGTAATTTTTTTGTAACCTAAGAAGGGTTACTGAATGAGGAATAACCAAAACGGAGGTTGGAAATGAAATGGTAATCTTTATAACATCAACAAAATAAAATACTCGCCAGCGGTGTGAAGTAGGTAAACAACTGCATGTGGTGGATTACTTAGACAGCATATTACCACTACTTACTATATAGCCCAACGTATTTATGAGGACTGGGACATACACATCAGTGTTCATAGGTACGGATTATAACAGTGACCAATATAAGAACTTGAGAAATACTTATTAAGGAGTGGGACTACCGTAATTTAAATAGATAGATAGATAGATAGATAGATAGATAGATAGATAGATAGATAGATAGATAGATAGATAGATAGATAGTGTTGTAACTGAATGAGGAATAACTAAAACAGAGTTTGGAAATGTAATGGTAATCTTTAAAACGTCAACAATATACAATACTCGCCAGCGGCATGAAATAGGTAAACCACTGCTAGTGGTAAACTACTTAGACACCATATTCACCCCCCCCCAACACACACACACTTACTACAGTGTCCAACGTATTTACGAGGGTTGGGACATACCCATTAGTGTTTATAGATACGGTATATAACAAATTTGTATCTCAAAATTTTAGTTTCATTCACAAATAAATGTTAGTTTGCCTTCTTTTTAATTCAAATATAGGTTCATATGAAAATATACAATAAAAATACTATGTGTCAATGTTTATTATTCAGATTTTTGTTATGAAAAACTTATTTAGAATGGTTTGCTGCCTGGTATTCTTCTGTTTTTCATATAATTGGCGCTTCAAATTTACCAAATATATCATGAGTAGTTTAACTTAAAAAAAATATTTATAATCTTTCCACAGTAAATGCACACATGTTTTATATTTTCTCCCAACTCAGGTGAGGGTGAACCTGAGAACAAAGGCAATTAAGATGTGGTTGCACACTCATAAAAATCTCCAGTCTTCCGATCTTACTGCCGGCTGTAGTTTATCGTCATACCCAGGACCAGAGTACATATAACTAGGTATCCCATGCAAAGGACAGTGCCACATGAAAGCTCATGATGCATAGGTACCTTTAGCGTGTTCTCAGATAGCGCAATTGAAGCAAAAAAAAAATAAGTCTTCGAAAACGTGTTTGAACAAGAGTGTTTCCACAGTCCTAAAATCGTCGAATCTTCCGATCAGAGGCCTTGCTGCCTTATGTACTTTATTGCCATACACAGGACTTCACTTCCCAGATATTTAAATAGCTGTCTTCTTTATGTACCGTGTCCCTTCAGGGCGTCAGCTACCATGACCCTCCACATCTTCCTGCCCCTTGTAGATCTTAATACGTTTTGTCATTTTGTTACTTCTAAACCCTGTTAATTATTCATTTATTCAAGATCATCATGTATGTTACACGCTGCTTTCATCTGCCCCTCTTTTCCTAAGTCTGTCTTATGAGTATCAGATTTTCCAAGCCCTCCTTCCTCATTATGTGCTCCAGAAATGTCAATGATGGTAAGTATAAGTTTTCTTTTTTACTTCCTTTTTTTCCAAAATATCGTTGCTGATTACATGTTTGGTCCATGCTGTCTTCAGCATCGATCTCTAGAACCACATTGCTGTTTCTTCAAGTCTCTTATCCACCTTTGAGATTTCCCTGCTTGCGCCGGCATACAGGAGAGTAGATATCTCGCTACAGTTCAATAAGCTTTTCTTTGTTTCTAACGAATTTTTTTCTGTTTGTGTTTTGGGAAGGCATTTTCGGCCATAGCAATGCGTCTTCAGATCTCAGTGTCTCACTTTACGTCCTGTTAGAACACTTCACAGATATTAAAAAAAATTCTACTTGATTGATTTTAATATCTCCGATGTGTAATTTGAAGTTTGTAATATTTTCTTTTGCTGATAACCTTGCTTTCTGTCTTCACTTAGTTTATACATAGTCCTTTCTTCTCGCTTTCCTTCTGTATAAGTATATGTAGTTTCCTTTATGTATCTGTTATCAACACAGTGTCACTTGCATACCTCATGCTTTAAAGTATATGGCATCCAATAACGTCTCCTGGTATGACTTCTAATTTTCTTACAAAATATCTCCCTGTATAGATTGAATAAATCTGGCGAGAAAATTCATCCTTGTCTTAAACCCCATTCTAATTTTGTATATCTGCTGAAGATACACATTTTTTTTTAATTACATCAAATGCTTTCTAAAATTATCATATTCGCCTGCATCAATCACGGATGACCGAATATTTTTCAAGAACAAACATATTTCATCATACACCCCGAAAATAGATTCATATTACTGCAAATGACCTAATCTGAGGAAAAAATAGAAATCGATTACACCCTGTCGCCCCAGTAGGTCTAAAACTGACCGTATGGTGAATGAAACTAAACTAAAGCGGTTGTTTCAATTAATTTGCATAAGGGTGTATATACATACGTTTACATTTGTCTGTTTCAGTGGCTAGCCAATCATTGATGCCGACAGCTACTGAGAAACATAGATTTTAGTTTAACACCTGCTGAGCCAACCTATGTTTTACAGTGCTACTATGCTGAGCGGGCGTACAGTGTGTCTGTGTGTGTGGGAGGGAATCTGACGGATGATGCATTTTTAATATAATATGATGAGTTTTAAACCCCTTTCTAATTTTGTATATCTGCTGAAGAAGTATTCTGTCTGTAAACATTTTTTTAATTACCTTTACTGCTTTCTGAAATGATCATATTCGCTCGCATCAACGTTTCATCAAATATATAACGTTGTTCGCGAAGAATATATACCACAGACAAAGAAAAAAAAATCTTTTTTCTGCACAATGCTGTACGTCACTCTAGTGATTTCGTCCGCAATGGCGGGTGAACATTGTATATTTTTTATTCTAACTAGTGGAATTTTTTTTTTTTTTTATCATTGCATACCACCAAGTTCATTGATTGTTTTCTCTACTTCGGGAGAGATCTCTTTGACTTCATGCAATTAAATCATGGATGCGTTTTAATAATTCGTCTTTGAAGTGCAAAAAAGGAAAAGAAAAAAAGAAACTGGATTTATCTGCGTCTTATTGTACTGTCTTTTTTATATTCGATTTCGTCACTGGATTGAGTTTATTTAGGAACAATTCAATTATCGATCGTGGCAAAGGTTTTGTTTTATTTATTTTGCTTTCTTTTTCTCTTTCTCTCTCACTCCGTCTCTTTTTCAATTTCGATCTTTAAAACGAGAAGAATTCTTAAAAAAAATAGCACTTTCAAAACGAGGCTCATTCATTAATTTGCTTAGATTCCGATCATTGCCTATAATCTCCTCGAGGAAATCGCCATTGCAAAATCATTCCTTCTTTGCTTTTGATTCGGTTTGGCTAAAGTTCTTGCCTTTGTTTATCGATTTCTTTTTTTTAAACTTTTTTTTGTTCAATTCTTTTTTTTTCATTTTAAGGCATTGTTTAAGTCGCTTCCATTGAGAATTAAAAAATACGAAAGTATTTTTTATTTCGTTACGGCCTTTTGTTCATATATTAAGTTTTTGTTTGGCCATTTTAGATATCGTCCTTTTATATATAGTTTTCGATTTTTTTCTCCATTTTTTTTCGTTCTTTTTCCTTCAAGCTCCTGATGTATTTACACTCTTTGTTATCTGTCGCTTTTGTTTTATTCCTTTCCTTCACGCATTCATCTATGTTTTTTCCTTTATTTTTCTTTCTTTCTTTCTTTTATTCTTTCTTTTACTTAATGCAATATTCCTTTTTCACAAACATGTACCTTTTCTTTATTTTTCTTTCTTTCTTTTATTCTTTCTTTTACTTAATGCAATATTCCTTTTTCACAAACATGTACCTTTTCTTTATTTTTCTTTCTTTGTTTCATTCTTTCTTTTTTGTTATTTAATGCTTTTTTTTCGTTTTTCGTTCATTAGAGCCTCTGTTTCGTTTAACTTGTTTTTTTGATTTAATAAAAAAACACCTTTTTCTTTCAATGCTATTTATTTAGGGCTTCACTTTTGTCTCTACCTTCACTTTTACCTTCTTCAAATTTAATTCCTTCCATCTTTCATTCTTTCTTTCTTTCTTTCTTTTTTTCTTTCTTTCTTTCTTCCTTAGGGCTTTGCATTTTTCGCCTTTACCATTTTATCTTTTTCAAGTTTAAAGTTTCTTTCTTTCTTTCTTTCTTGGACTTAATGTATTTCTTCCTTTTTTAATAACGTATACCACTTATTTCCTTTTTTATTTCTGGCATTATATTTTTCTCGCCTTTAGCCTTTTATCTTCTTCAAATATATTTTTTCCTTCTTCCTTCCATTTTTTCTTTCTTTCGTTCTCCCTTCCTTTCTATATTTATCCCTTCCTTCCTTTCTTACTTTTTTCTTTCTTCCTTCCTTCCTTTCGTAACTTTTTCTTTCTTTCTTCCTGTTTTCTTTCTTTCTTCCTGTTTTCTTTCTTTCTTCCTTTCTTCCTGTTTTCTTTCTTTCTTTCTTTTACTTTATTCATTTCTTCCTTTTTTCATCGTTCTTCTTTATCATTCTTACGACGTTACATTTTTCTTGCCTTTACCATTTTATCATCAAATTTAATTTCTTCTTTCGTTCTTTCTTTTTTTTATTTAATATTTTACTTGATTTTTCACAAACTTATACGGATTTTTTTCATTCTTTGTTTGTTTCTATTTTTCTTTTCTTCCATTTTCGCCTTTACTCTTTTATCTTCTTAAGATTTAATTCCTTCTTTCTTTTTTCTCTTTCTTACTTAATCGATTTTTACACTTTTCCCAAGCTCATAACGTTTTCTTTCTTTTTGCTCAGATATTTTAGTCATTTTTTTCAGTTTTCGTAGTTTTCAATTCTTGTTATTTTTCTTCTGTCTTTCATTATTTTTTTTTTTTTTTGGTTCTTTTACATAGATTTTGTCTGTTTTTGGTTAGGTTCTTTCTTGCCTTTACCATTTCATTCTTTTTATTTCGACCGTGTTGATTTTTCGTCTACCGTTTTTCTTTTCTTTTCTTACGTTTTTCATTCTTTCTTTTACTTACATTTTTTCCTAATAAATGAATTTTTCATTACACTCACTTTTTCCTCCCTTCCTTCTTTCTTTTTTTTCTTTCTTTCTTTCCTTATTTATTTATTTCTTATTTCTTTTCTTTCTCTCATTGTTTCTTCCTTCATTTCTTCCTTCCGTTCTCCCTTCCTTCCCTTCTCCCTTCCTTTCGTTCTTCCTTTCTTTCGTTCTTCCTTCCTTTATATATTTATTCCTACCTTCCTTTCTTAATTTTTTTCTTTCTTCCTTGATTTCTTTCGTAACTTTTTCATTCTTTCATCCTTCCTTTCTTTTTTCCTGTTTTTCTTTCTTTCTTTTTTCTTTCTTTCTGTATTTAATTATTTTTCCTACCTTTCTTTCTTTCTTTCTTCCTTCCTTTCGTTCTTCCTCTTGTCTTTCTTTCTTTCTTTTTTCTTTATTTCTTTCTATGTTTCGTTCGTCTTTTTTCTTTCTTTCTTTCTTTTTTCTTTTTTCTTTATTTATTTATTTATTTATTTATTTATTTTTCCTACCTTCCTTTCTTATTATTTTTCTTTCTTCCTTGCTTCCTTTCGTAACATTTTCATTCTTTCATCCTTCCTTCAATTCTTCCTGTTTTTCTTTCTATCTATCTATCTATTTATCTATCTTTCTTTATTTATTTATTTCTTCCTTTATTTACTTATTTATTTTTCCTACCTTTCGTTCTTTCTTTCTTTCTTTCTTTCTTTCTTCCTTCCTTCCTTTCGTTCTTCCTCCTGTTTTTCTTTCTTTTTTCTTTATTTCTTTCTAAGTTTCGTTCGTCTTTCCTTATTTATTTTTCCTATCTTTCGTTCTTGTTTGCTTTCTTTCTTTATTCATTTCCTTCTTTCTTTCTTCCTTCCTCCTGTCTTTCTTTTTTCTTTCCTTCTTTTTTCTGTATTTCTTTCTACCTTTCGTTCGTCTTTTCTTTCTTTCTTTCTTCCCTCCGTTCGTTCTTTTTTCTTTTTCCTTCTTTTCTTACTCCTTTCCTTTCGTTCTTTTTTTATTTCACTCTCCAATATGTCTCTTTCCTCTCTTTTACACCTCCTATAACTCCTTTACTTCACCTCTCATTGTTTATTCCCCCTCCCATTGATATTTTACCTCTTCCTCCCTTTCTCCTCTTCTTTCTTATTCCATAACATGCTGATGTGAAACCTTCCGGACTTAATTCGGCCATTTTTATCTAGATATCTGTCTGCCTTCCATCTTGTTTCCCTCCCTTTCTTTCCCACCGTCCTAGAAACTGATTTGATTTCTCTCGGATCAATAGCACAATAATCAGCGGCCATTCGTTTTCGATCGATTATCAATCATTAACGAAGGAAATCCGTAAAGATCGCGTTTGATTTTTCAATTTCTAATATCGATTCTTTGAACCGTATTCGAAATCAATTTAATAATGTTTCTCTTCCCCCTCCATTCGACTGTTATTTTTCTCTCTTTCTAATGTGATTTTTTTTCCTTTTTCTTCGCCATTTTTGCCTCACTTCATATTTCGTTAACTTTTTCTTTATTGTTTTTAAATTTCGTAATTCAGTTTTTCTTGGGATTACAGCTGCATCACGTTGAAAAACCAGTTCCCGTACGATCAGCGAAGTTAAGTAACATCGAGCATGGACAGCATCTGGATGGGTGATCGCTTGGAAAGCTTAGTTGTGCAGGTGGTGTTGATTACGGCCATAACAAAATGAAACACGAGATTTGCTAAGTTCAATGAAGTTAAGCAAAGTCGAAACTGGGCAGTAACAAGATGGGTGACCGCTTGGGATTACCAGGTTTAGATGTGCGGGTAGTGTGGCATACGGCCATATCACGTTGAGTGATAGGTTCTCGTACGATCACAAAAGTTAAGCAAAGTCGAGAATGGACCTTAACAAGATGAGTGAACGCTTGGCATTGCTAGGTGCTGTAAGCTTATGGGGTCTGGCGTGCTTACGTCTATATCACGTTGAAACACCTGTTCCCGCACGATCACAGACACTAAGCAACGTCGAGCTTGATCAGTACTTACATGGGTGACCAATTAGGAATTCCAGGCGCTGTAAGCGTGGATGTGCAAGTGGTGCAATGAATAGTGATTTGGAATTATTAATCGGAAAACCGGGTTCTAATTCTAGTTGGGTTCGTTATATTCACTTAGCGAAAATACCATTGGGAAAGGCATGAATCCACATTTTTGCTGGACTACAAATATCGGTTAATTAGTAAGAGTTAAATCACTAAACCTCAGCAGGATTTTCTTCATTGGTATACTTTTGTCTTTCCTAAATTATATTACTTATTGGTTTATCCAAATGGATCTCTCTTTACTGGTCTTTCCTCAATGGTCTTCCTTTATTCAATTTTCTTCATTGGTCTTCTTCTATTGGTCTTTCCTCAGTGGTCTTCCTTTATTCAATTTTCTTCATTGGTCTTCTTCTATTGGTCTTTCTTCATAAGACTTTCTTTATTGGTCTTGCTTCATCGCTCTTCCTTTATTCAATTTTGTTCATTGATCTTCTTTATTAGTCTTTCTTCATAAGACTATTTTATTGGTCTCTCCTCATTGGTCTTCCTTTATTCAATTTTCTTCATTGGTCTTCGTTATTGGTCTTTCTTCATGAGTCTTTTTATTGGTCTTTCCTCATTGGTCTTCCTTTATTCAATTTTCTTCATTGGTCTCCTTTTATTGGCCTTCTTTCATAAGACTTTATTGGTCTTTCTTCATCTCTCTTCCTTTATTCAAGTTTCTTCATTGTTTTATTGGTCTTTCTTCATGAGACTTTCTTTATTGGTCTTTCCTCATTGGACTTCCTTTATTCAATTTTCTTCATTGGTCTTCTTTTATTGGCCTTTCTTCTTAAGACTTTCTTTACTGGCCTTTGTTCAATCGTCTTCCTTGGGTTTTTTCATTGGTCTTTCTTTATTGATCTTTGCTCATTAGTCTTTCCTTATAGGATTTCGTCATTAGATTCTTTTTATTGGTCTTTCTAGCTGTGTTTATTATTACTCTTTCCAAGTTGGTGATTCGTTATTGTTATTTCCTTATAGGTCTTCCGTCATCGCTCTTTCATTCTTGGCCTATTTCCATTGGTTTTCCAGCATTCTTTAATCTTGATATCCGAAAAAACGTGTTCCGAAATGTCGGTTTTTCCCTTGACATCAACATTATTTAAATGCCTTCATTCTTCGACAACATCCATTTCTTTGAATAAAACGTGATTCGAATTGCAATAAAATGATAATGAAAGTGATTTTATACATTTTCGTTGTTTCTGTGAACTGACAACAAAAATAATAAACTCAATTTTTACATTATTCGGAGTATTGTCCTCATCTTTTTACGACATATTTATTACAACGTTTCGGCCGTTGTACGCTCCGGTCATCTTCAGTTGGTTGGAATTTCGAAATGAACCCTTTATTTCACTCACTGGGGTAGACTGTTCTAGTTCCACGGACCATGTTTAAAGGATGTCATTTATCAGTTATCTCTATGTTAATTTCCCTCTGAAAGATCTCAACTGCCTTAACCGGGTATTGAACTCACACACTTTTGGGTCCTGTCACTGGATCTAACTAACGCGTTTTTCCAATGTGCCATGTGTCCTTGTAATAATTGTGTCGACATAGATGAGGACAATAGTCCGAATAATGTAAATAATGTACATAATACCTTATCTCAGAAATATAGACAGGTACTGAAAGGCCGAAACGTTGTAATAAATATGGCGACAAAGATGAGGACAATAGTCCGAATAATGTAAATAGTGTACATAATACCTCATCTCAGAAATATAGACAGATACTGAAAGGCCGAAACGTTGTAATAAATATGGCGACAAAGATGCGGACAATAGTCAGAATAATGTAAATAGTGTACATAATACCTCATCACAGAAATATAGACAGATACTGAATGGCCGAAACGTTGTAATAAATATAGCGACAAAGCTGAGGACAATAGTCCGAATAATGTAAATAGTGTACATAATACCTCATCTCAGAAATATAGACAGATACTGAATGGCCGAAACGTTGTAATAAATATGGTGACAAAGATGAGGACAAATAGTCCGAATGTAAATAGTGTACATAATACCTCATCTCAGAAATATAGAGAGATACTGAAAGGCCGACGTTATGTAATAAATATGGTGACAAAGATGAGGACAATAGTCCGAATAATGTAAATAGTGTACATAATACCTCATCTCAGAAATATAGACAGATACTGAAAGGCCGAAACGTTGTAATAAATATGGTGACAAAGATGAGGACAATAGTCCGAATAATGTAAATAGTGTACATAATACCTCATCTCAGAAATATAGAGAGATACTGAAAGGCCGACACGTTGTAATAAATATGGTGACAAAGATGAGGACAATAGTCCGAATAATGTAAATAGTGTACATAATACCTCATCTCAGAAATATAGACAGATACTGAAAGGCCGAAACGTTGTAATAAATATGGCGACAAAGATGCGGACAATAGTCAGAATAATGTAAATAGTGTACATAATACCTCATCACAGAAATATAGACAGATACTGAATGGCCGAAACGTTGTAATAAATATGGTGACAAAGATGAGGACAATAGTCCGAATAATGTAAATAGTGTACATAATACCTCATCTCAGAAATATAGACAGATACTGAATGGCCGAAACGTTGTAATAAATATGGTGACAAAGATGAGGACAATAGTCCGAATAATGTAAATAGTGTACATAATACCTCATCTCAGAAATATAGAGAGATACTGAAAGGCCGACACGTTGTAATAAATATGGTGACAAAGATGAGGACAATAGTCCGAATAATGTAAATAGTGTACATAATACCTCATCTCAGAAATATAGACAGATACTGAAAGGCCGAAACGTTGTAATAAATATGGTGACAAAGATGAGGACAATAGTCCGAATAATGTAAATAGTGTACATAATACCTCATCTCAGAAATATAGAGAGATACTGAAAGGCCGACACGTTGTAATAAATATGGTGATGAGATGATGGACAATAGTCCGAATAATGTAAATAGTGTACATAATACCTCATCTCAGAAATATAGACAGATACTGAAAAGGCCGAAACGTTGTAATAAATATGGCGACAAAGATGCGGACAATAGTCAGAATAATGTAAATAGTGTACATAATACCTCATCACAGAAATATAGACAGATACTGAATGGCCGAAACGTTGTAATAAATATAAAGACAAAGCTAGGACAATAGTCCGAATAATGTAAATAGTGTACATAATACCTCATCTCAGAAATATAGACAGATACTGAATGGCCGAAACGTTGTAATAAATATGGTGACAAAGATGAGGACAATAACTCCGAATAATGTAAATAGTGTACATAATACCTCATCTCAGAAATATAGAGAGATACTGAAAGGCCGACACGTTGTAAAAATATGGTGACAAAGATGAGGACAATAGTCCGAATAATGTAAATAGTGTACATAATACCTCATCTCAGAAATATAGACAGATACTTAAAGGCCGAAACGTTGTAATAAATATGGTGACAAAGATGAGGACAATAGTCCGAATAATGTAAATAGTGTACATAATACCTCATCTCAGAAATATAGAGAGATACTGAAAGGCCAAATGTTGTAATAAATATGGTGACAAAGATGAGGACAATAGTCCGAATAATGTAAATAGTTTACATAATACCACATCTCAGAAATATAGACAGATACTGAAAGGCGAAGAAATAATAAATGACAAAGATGAGGACAATAGTCAAATAATGTAAATAGTGTACATAATACCTCATCTAAAAATATAGAGAGATACTGAAAGGTCGAAACGTTGTAATAAATATGACGACAAAGCTGAGGACAATAGTCCGAATAATGTAAATAGCGTACATAATACCTCATCTCAGAAATATAGACAGATAAACAATTTATTGATTCTATTTATCTATTATTTGTTAATTGGAATATATATATATATATATATATATATATATATATATATATATATATATATATATATATATCTGTGTCTGTGTATAATGAAAATAATAAACATTTTTCTTACTGTTAGTTCACATATTTTAATAATTTGAAAATGTTTATAAATTGATGCGTAAAATATTGTTTTCATATTCATTTCTTTATAAATAGTTAAATGATAAATATTGTCTTGCATTAGTTGAAAAATAATTTTTCTTGTAAATAGGCAATCCAATAAATATTAACATTTTTATTGTAAATAAAAAAAACGTATAAATTAACTTTTCATAGAACACGAACATTAATCATTGCCGATCCTTGCCTATTAGTCTTTCTTTATTGATCTTTGTTTTATTAATCATTCTTTATTAGTCTTTCATTATTAGGCATCCTTTATTATCTTTCTTTATTGATCTTTGTTTTATTAATCATTCTTTATTAGGCTTTCATTATTAGGCATCCTTTATTATCTTTCTTTATTGATCTTTGTTTTTATTAATCATTCTTTATTAGATATCTTTCATTATTAGGCATCCTTTATTATCTTTCTTTATTGATCTTTGTTTTATTAATCATTCTTTATTAGGCTTTCATTATTAGGCATCCTTTATTATCTTTCTTTATTGATCTTTGTTTTATTAATCATTCTTTATTAGGCTTTCATTATTAGGCATCCTTTATTATCTTTCTTTATTGATCTTTGTTTTATTAATCATTCTTTATTAGGCTTTCATTATTAGGCATCCTTTATTATCTTTCTTCATTGATCTTTATTTGTCTTTCTTTATTAGCTTTTCTTTATTGTTCATTCTCCATTGGTCTTTCGTTAATGGTTTTCTTCATTCTTCTTTCATTATAAGTCTTTCGTTATTGTTTTTTTTTACTTTAATGTTCTTTCCTCGTTTGGTCATTCTTTATTGATCTTTTTTATTGGCATTTCTTCATTGGTCTTTCTTTATTACTCTTTCTTTAATGTTCTTTCTTTATTGGTCTTTTTATTAACCATTTTTATTAGTCTTTCTTTATTGGACTTTCCATATTGAGTTTTCTTTATTGTCATTTCTCCATTTCTCTTTCGTTATTAGGCTTTCTTTATTGATCTTTCTGTATTGTTTTTCTTTATTGAACTTTGGTTTTCTTTCTTTATTGGTCTCTCTTTAAGACTCTTTCATCATTAGTTTTTCTTTATTCTACTTTCTTCATTAGTCTTTATTTTTCGTTATTTCATCATTTATTGTTCTTTCTTTCTTAGTCTTTCTTCATTGTTCTTCCTTTATCTCTCTTTATTATTTTTTTCATTCGTCTTTCTTTATTTTTCTTTCTTCATTTGCCTTTCTTCAGCTGTTTTTTTTACGTTTTGATCTTTCTTTTTTGTTATTTCTTCATTGGTCTTTCTTCGTTGGTATTTATTCATTAGTCTTTCCTTATTGGTCTTTTTGAATTGTTCGTTTTTTTTTGGTCTATCGTATTCTTTCATCATTGGTCTTTCTTTATTCTTCTTTCTTTGTTTACTCTATTGTTCATTCTATATTATTCATTCTATAGTATTCCTTCTTTATTGGTTTTTCATTATTAGTCTTTATTTATTATTTTTTCATTAGTCTTTCTTTATTTTTCTTTCTTTATTGTCCATTCTTCAGCTGTTTTGCCGTGTTGTTCTTTCTTTTATTTGCTATTTCTTCATTGACCTTTTTTTCATTGGTATTTCATTTTTTGACCATTTCTATTTAGTCTATCGTAATTGCTCTTTATTTCTTCACCTCTTTGTTTATTGATCCATTTTCATTGGATTTTTGTTTATGACAATTTCGTTATAATTCTTTCTTTATTAATCTGTCTTTTATTAATTCCCCTTTTGAAAATTGCATTTGGCATGAAGGAAACAACTCCTAGTGAGTTCTACAGAAGAGGAATGTAAGAAAAGGAACTCTCAGAATAGAACTTTTGGTTACACTAGCAGCATGGCCTTTAAACGAGTGGCCTTTGCCGTGCTGATGGTGCTACATGCCTTACTTCTTGCCTATCTCACACTGCGAATTTTTTCTAAGCTCTATACTAAACATTAAATACGTTACAAAATGAACACAAAACGATCAGCTTTAAAAAAGGACTCGTAACTGGAAAAACCGAATGAAAAAAGAATGTTAACAACAATTACTTTTTCACACCCAACCCAGTTCTGCGGAATCTGAATCAACGTTGAGTTTAAGTAAGCGAATGAGCCAACTGGAGTAAAGTGCCATACAGATTTAAATTTTTCCCACTTGTGACGAATGCAGCTATCAATTTTTTTTGCATGCTAGCATGCTAGTTAATATTCGTGTCAGTCAGCTGTTGTCTCTCACGCTGGCTAATAAAATCTTCCTGCGTATTCGTGGCAGCCAGATATTGGCTCTCACTCTGGCCAGTAGAAAACGGCCGCAAACTACATGAAAACTGCTGTCGAAGTATGAAAAAGTCGATTATTTACACTAGCGATGGGAGTTGGGAAATACAAAGTCGGTCCTGGCCTTTCCGCTAACTTGGAGCATGTGCATGTAAATTTTGGTGCAAATCAGTCGAAAATTGCGGCCGTGCATTCGTTACACACACACACACACACACACACACACACACACACACACACACATCCTGCCTTTTATAGATATAGATCTAACAATTTAAATATTAATGTAATGAGACCTATTTTCCAATCTAGTACTGCGCTGAAATTAATGAAGTCAATGCAACCAAAGCGGAAATTTGATCACAGCAATCGAAATGAAAATGATTATGGCTGAGGCAGAGAAAAGCTACGTTACTGCGAGAAGAACATGATTGAAGCCAAGATGCGATGTCAGGACCGACAGCATTGCAGATTCTTCTTTGTTAAGAATCTTAATAAACATAGCAGAAGTACCAGACAAGATGTGGCAACAATATTCAATGCGCGGACAAATGGTTAACTTTTAAAGTTGCACGATTCTCTCGGGAAAATTGTCTTTCTTTAATGGTCTTATTTCATTTGTCTTTCTTTATTGAACTTTCTTAATTGTTTAACATGATTAAAGCCGATATTCTATGTCAGGACCGATAGCATTGCAGGTTTTTTTTTCATTTTGTCAAGAAACTTAACATGTATAGCAGAAGCACCAGACAAGATGTGGCAACAATGTGCGGACGAATGGCTGGCTACACGGTTCTCCCGAGAAAATTCGCTTCCAGCTTACAGTGAACCACTTTTCCTTGGAGCTGTTTTGGCAAATTTGCATCAATATAAGCCATTCTAATTTGTATCTGAGGAAATGGTTAGACTGAGAAGGAGCAATGAATATTTTTCCTAGAATTTAGCATCAGCCATAGTGATGTAAAGCAAAAAAATGTTCTCTGAGAGGATTAAAAATGAGCTGTTTACTCTTGGAGGCCTTAAAATTACGAAGACATTTCTTGATCCAGCTAACCTGGCCGTTCGTCTCGAAAAGGACCTCCAATCGGTTGTGAACTGGGGCAGTAATTGGCTGGTTAACTTTAATGCCTCAAAAACAAAACTGCTCTCTATTAATCACCATCCTTCCCTGCCCCCCATGAGAATGTCTGATGCTCAACTTCTCGAGAGCACCTCTCTGAGCTGCTCGGTCTCACATTGTCTGCTGACCTGAGATTGAACAAATACAATGAGTCAATAGCTTCGTCCACCGCAAGGAAAGTTGGCTCCCTGTGCCGCGACAGGAAATTTCTCTCACCAGAGTCGATCCTTCAAATCTACAAATCACCCATTCGCCCTTGCATGGCGTATTGCTGGCATATATGGTCTGCAGCCCCTTCTGTTTGCCTCGGGGTTCTTGATAAGATACATAGACGGATATGCAATGTAATTGACCCTGATCTGGCATCTCGTCTGCAGTCGCTCTCTCACAGACGCGCCGTCGCCTCTCTCTGTCTTTTTTTTACAAATACTTTCATGGTAATTTCTCCGATGAGCTGCTTTCGCTGGTTCCCAGACTTCGCCAATTCAAGCGTCCTACGTGGCTGGCATCCCGCTCTCACCATTTCACTGTTGAAACAATTAAATGTCGCCGACTCTTCTACTCCAATAGCTTCGTATCTCGCACCTTTCGCCTGTGGAAGTCCCTTCCCTATTCCTGTTTCCCTGATAGCTATAATCTCCAACTATTCAAATGTAATGTCAATCGACATCTCCAGTTGCCTTGATCTATCCACTATCCTTTTCCTCACCCTTTCCTCTATCATTCCTATGTGATCTTGCTCCAAATCCTCTATAATCCCTTGCGTGCTAGTGGCTTCCCGCCTTGCTTGGGGTGAAATGCTTAAAAACAAATCAACAAACAATAGAATGGAGATATCATCTACCAATTTGACTTTATCGCACTTATCATACACACAATTATGGCAGGGGTAACTAGTTGACTCATTTGCATAGATACTGAGTTAAGAACTCGTGACATCTCAGGTATCTGTTTTTTTTTTTCATTGTTGGCACATTTTTCTTTCATTTAATATTTTATTTTAACATTACGTCTATGTTCATTTCTTCTTTTTCAATTCATTTTTTTTCCTTAATCTTTCTCAATTTATTTTATTCTTTTACTTTCTATCCATCTTTTTTTTCCGAAGTCTTTACGAACTCTTCTTCAAATTAAGTTTTTTTTTCTCTCTCTCTATCTCTCTGTGTCCTTATACATTTTTTTTTACACTCCATGATTCCTGAAATTACTTTCAGCCGATCTCTTGTTCTTTTCGCGATTCCTCTCGCCAATTTCGAAATCTGCTAAACACTTTCTCTTCTTAAATCATTTTCATAGCATCTAAATAAAAATAAAAATAAAAAAACGGCAGCCCGATTCAGAAAAAATGAAAAAAAACAAAAAAAACAAAAAGCTGCTTTCTCATTGAACGAGAGCAATCCATTGAAACATTCCATGATGTAAAGACAGTGTGAAAAGCACCGGAAACTTCGTATCATACGCTAATTACAACACGTGACGCTGACAAAATAATAATAATAATAATAATAATAATAATAATAAGATAAATAAATGAATAAAATACAAAAGAAAAAAAGATATGCGAATATTTGATTGGCTTGACGGTGCTGTTTATTTCAAATCAATGCGGGTAGATTTTGAAAGAAAGACTTGTGCGCATGCGCTTGCGTGATTAAACATCCATTTTTTTTTCTTTAGTTCACATACCCCGAGTTTTTTTTATCCCTTTTCTTTCGTTTTTCGTATCTTATTTGAAAAAAAAAATAGTTATTTTCCTTTATGGGTTTCTCTCTTTGTCACAGGAAAGAGAGAGAAAAAAAAGTCCTTTCATTTATTTAGTTTGCTGTCCCTGAAATAAATGTTGGTTTGCTTCCTACATTCCTGTCTTTGTAGTTATATTTAATTGCAAATTACCTTTAACTAACGTGAGAGTAACATTATCCTTCAGACATAGCTGCGCGACCAAATCTTTTGTTTACAACAATGTTTGATAGTTTAAAAAATAAAAACGATCTGTCTATATTTCTAAGATGAGATGTTATTTATGTTATTTACATTATTTACATTATTCGGACTATTGTCCTCATCTTTGTCGCCATATCTATTGCAAAGTTTCGGCCGTTCTCAGCTCCGGCCTTCTTTAGTTGGTTGCGATGTCGAACTAAACCCTTTATTTCGTTCACTGGTATAGACTGTTCTAGTTCCACGTGCCATGTTTGATGGATGTCAGTTATCAGTTATCTCCTGTTAATTTCCCTCTGAAAGTTCTCCACTGCCTTAACCGGGTATTGAACTCACACTTTTTTGGTCCTGTCACTGGATCTAACTAATGTCTTTATCCACTGTACCATGTGTCCTTGAAGACACATGAGACTAGAACAGTCTACCCCAGTGAGCGAAATAAAGGATTCAGTTCGACATTCCAACCACACGAAGAAGACCGGAGTGTGCAACGGCCGAAACGTAATAATAAATAGGGCGACAAAGATGAGGACAATAGTATTAGGTTGGTGCAAAAATAATGACATAATAATGTCGTTTTTTGACGTATTTTTTAATGTCAAAAAACGACATTCTTACGTCATTATTTTTGCACCAACCTAATACGAATAATGTAAATGATGTTAAAAAACGAGTTTAAATTTTTTTAATGAATGCCTTCTATGTCTAAAACCAAAATACGTCACATAATTAAACAATGGTAGGAACTGATGTTAAAGTAAAGGGTGAGAAATTTAATAAATTTTTATACATAATGCATGGTTAATGTGTTTCTGTCGTACTAGATTCATTAAAAGAAAATGGCCGAATATGTAACGGCCTGTCAGAATATCTGAAGTACCGTTTGCCTAGCCGTGATGAAAATTCCAACAATCAGGCGAGCTCTTGATATGTTTTGTTATGGTTCGATTTGTTTTACGGCATATCAACACCTCAATGGGTTATTTAATGCTTTCAAGATTTCTTTATCGCTGATAATATTTTTTCCAAAAAATATGCTGCTGGTAATAATTTTACCCCCCAAAATATCGCCTGAATTAATACTTATTTTTATACTTTCATAGTGTTTTGACCCCTTTTGTGGGGGTTGAGTATTTTTCAATAGCAGGGACTCTGACAGGTGCTACCACCCCGGATCAGGGTTGACCTGGGAACACTCGCAATTAAGAGGTGCTTCCATACTCATCAAATCCTCCTAAGCAAAGTCGTTGTTTTCGGATGTAGTTTATCGTCATACCCAGGACGCGGATGTAGTTTATCGTCATACTCAGAACGCGGAT